TGTACAGGTTTTCAAAAATATAAATATAAATCACAAGGGAATGCTTGGGCGTTTCAGATATTAATAGCGCATTTCCTTTTATCAGGCTTAAATCGTCAGGTTATTTAAATGCACACTTTTCTGCATGTTATCTACATAAAGGGAAATTAAAACAACTTTGGGTGCACGTCATCAATGACACCATGCGTCGTCTTATGGAGTTTGCTGGTGGTCGTATTATGATGTGCAACCAATTATACCGGGTGCGTCTCAAAAGTGGCTCACCGCCTATAACTTTTTTATTTTTTCAGTTAAAAAAACGATTTGGTAAGTTATGGTATGTTAGTATATGACATAAATTAGGATTGATTGACGTATTCAATTGTTTTCGGTCACTTCCTGTTACACCGGAAATGACTACCACTTTTGATTTTTAAATGGCACCCTCGGTATTTTTTTACTTTATTCGATAGAAAATAACACTCAGAATAGAATGACATACCATATGTCAACTTTTGAGATTTTCGCATTATTTGAAATTATAACTACGGGTTCGTAACGAAAGTTTGACTCGAAATACCAAGTATGTGGTATCATTGGTATCAAATTATTCGTAAAAAAATGCTTGTTCCAAATATGCTAATGAGTCACACTCGTTCCATTTGAAAAAAGTTTAATATAAAATTCGACACAACGCACGTCCCTGTGTAAAAGGTTCATGTATGTTAGGGGTACATAACAGGGTGCAAGGTTTCTCCCCTGCCTCTGCCGCACTTGAATCAATCCTAAAATCTTCGCTTGGGTTCCCCTACTATTACTACAATATGATCGAAAAAAAAGGCGTCAGCGATGGCTGTGAAATGAAGACTGCTGTTATTTTATATGTGAAATTATATGGGGAATGTCATCGAAGCTCATTTCCAAGCCAAATGGAGACATTTTTTTTCGATCATACGGTAGAAAATCCAGAATATCATCGAAAAAAAAGTGCGTTTGAGTAAGGCTCCGCGCGCACTGCATCGGATCGGACCGACCAGCAAAAGCGACTGCGACCATCGTACATATAGATGGCGCCGGCGTCCACTAAAACATTTCGGCCTGTAGAGGCCAGATTCCTACCTCTACCTATCTACGATAGTCGAGTCATCGCCTTCGCCGTTTCTCGCCGGCCCGATCCGATGCAGTGCGCGCGGAGCTTAACGGGTACTTACGTTACGAAATTATGAACACCACCAGAATAAAAATTGACTTGGTCGATCGAGGATTAAAAACGATTTGCCATCAAAAGAAAATAAATTTTAAGGAGATCTATAAATAACCCTTTATTTTATTGCTGTTTTACGTATTCAGTGTATTTCAAATATGTAAGAAATTGGGACAAAAAAATGTGGATTAACAACGCCGGATTGTCTTAAATAGTATTTTCTAGTAAAAAAATTGAAATAATACGTTAGCTCTTAGAACTTATTCTTTTGTTAACTGATGTCAAGTATTGAAAAACTGTGCATTAGAAGTATCTGAAAGTATCACTTTTTCAGAGTAAAAATATAATTACTGACACGTGTATGGCGAAGGTGTCTGTTATTTTAAATTCAAAAGAAGTTTGTTGTGTCAGATTAACTCTGTCCAACAAGAATTGGACAATAACAGAGGTGTCTGTCATTTTTATTCGCAGGCGAATTGTGTTTTCTGTCATTTTTCATCTGTCCAAATCTTCCGCGACTCTTTGGACAGACTTCTCCAAAAATCTTGTTAAAACATTTTCAAGAATGGTATTTTAACATTGTATTTAAGAAACAAACTTATGTATAAAATCAATAAAATGTAAAAACTATAACACAATTTTGAATAACCGCAAAAAAAATCAAAAATGTTGATTTTCAGGGTTTTTTTTATTATAGAAAGAAATGAAAAAGTTAACAAAATAAAATTAATAAAAAAATATAAATATAAAGGGCGTCAGAGTCAGAGATGGCTTGGAATTTAAATGAAAGATTGCTGTTATTTTGTATCACTTAAAATGGACAATGTCGTCATTTCCAAGCCAACTGGACGCCGTTTTTTTTTCGATCAAACGTTAGATTGCAAAAAGGAACAGAATTAACTGGCTTTCAAAAACTTTAAATTTAAATTGTACTATCCACAAATTAGTGTCAACAAATCAACAAATTAATAAAATAATGTCAACAAATCCCTTTACACAGGAAAAACTGTAATACTGAGAATAGGAACTCTAACTTGAATTATTACTCTGAACTGATTATTTTATCATTGACAACATATACGTATATGATTGGCAAGCACTGCTTTCGTAAAAATTCTACATACTGATAAAACACCTTATTGTACACATACTTTATTTTATCAATATAAACGACTTATTGTTTTCGACATTTTCATACCAATAAAACCGAACAGGACATGGTACATTGGTACAATATGTGCGTTTTTCATGGAGTAGGTACCTACATTTTTCTGAATATTTTATTTTTGAATCATGGCCCTATATGCAATTTACGATACTATTGCAAAAGAATACTTACATATTGCACACAATATATTATCTATGAAATGAATGATAATAATGTTTTAACTTTTATTTCATACAATTAAAATAATTGGTCACTGATATTCAATTTGCATATTATTTTATATGATTATTTTTTTCTTGTAGTTAAATTTAAAGACTGATTCATCATGATATTCATTTCATTCTTAAATAGCTAATCTCTAATATATAAAATTCTCTTGTCACAGTTTTAGTTACCATACTCCTCCGAAACGGTTTAACCGATTTTGATGAAATTTTACACGTATATTCCTGGGTATATTCAGTAGGCCTAAGAATAGTAGTCCACCCCAATTTCTTTTTTCTTTTTTTTTACAAAATTTTTTATTTTTATTTTTTTATGAATTCATACAACCATAAATTTTCATCCTTCTACCATCAACCCCAATTTTTTAATAGCGATATTAGTAATTCAATAATTTGTGTCACAGTTTTAGTTACCATACTCTTCCGAATATTCAGTAGGCCTAAGAATAGTACTCCACCCCAATTTTTTTTTATTTTTTGAACAAAATTTTTTATTTTTATTTTTTTATGATGTGGCATTAAAAAATACACACAACCATAAATTTTCACCCTTCTACCATCAACCCCAATTTTTTAATAGCAATATTAGTAATTCAATAATTTGTGTTACAGCTTTAGTTACCATACTCCTCCGAATATTCAGTAGGTCTAAGACTAGTAGTCCACCCCAATTTTTTTTTGGACAAAATTTTTTAATTCTATTCTTTTATGATGTGGCATTAAAAAATACACACAACCCTAAATTTTCACCCTTCAACCATCAACCCCAGTTTTTTAATAGCGATATTAGTAATTCAATAATTTGTGTCACAGTTTTAGTTACCATACTCCTCCGAATATTCAGTAGGCCTAAGAATAGTAGTCCACCCCCAATTTTTTTTTTATTTTTTGAACAAATTTTTATTTTTTATTTTTTTATGATGTAGCATTAAAAAATACACACAACTCTAAATTTTAACCCTTCGGGGTTGATGGTACAACCCCAATTTTTTAGTAGCGATATTAGTAATTCAATAATTTGTGTCACAGTTTTAGTTACCATACTCCTCTGAAACGACTTGAGCAATTTTGATGAAATTTCATATCTATATTCAGTAGGTCTGAGAATAGGTTGTTATCTATTTGTTGTAATCCCTAAGTGATAAGGATGAATCACCCCAATTTTTTTTTATGTTTTGCACAAAATTTGAAGGTTCTTATCCCGGGAATTCAAGACGGGATCTCGATTCCAAGAATTGGAAACCCCACTCACAGTTGTTGACACTCATTTTAACTGATATTAAATTACTACTGCTAGACCCAAAAAAACGGCGTCAAGTTACCTTATATGTAGTTTAGTGCAAAATTATGGTTTTGGATCGTCATCTCTAAGGACTACATTTATTTTTTCGATCATTAGGTATAATTACAAGAAATAAAATTATCTATAAGCGATCTAAATCTTACTATTTACAGTAAGTTTTAGAAGTTCTTCTTGCTTATTAATTATAAGTAGGTATTATATGAGAAAAAAACGGCGTCAAAGACGGCTTGGAAGTGACCATCGTTGTCATTTTCTATGCAAAATTACATGGCGAATGTCACCAAACGTTTTATTTCCAAGCCAACTGGAAGCTTTTTTCGATCATATGGTATTATAGTCATTAACAGTTTTTTTTTCTTATAATAAACTAAAATTGAAGAATTAAGTATCTAAAAATATTTTTTTGCTGAAATCTGACAGCTTCCAGATGTGCAAAATCTAGTAACTATTCGAGTAAATATTTTTCTAGAGTAATGTTAAGTACCTAGCAGAAAGAATTTACTGTACGAATTAATTTTTTTATAAATAAACAATTATGTATTAAAAATAACTTTATTTATAGATGTTAGATTAACTTGTAACTAACACAATATACACTAAATGGGCCTTAATTTAACTTAAGAAAAACAACTACATATACAGTTTATTTATTTATATAAAACCCAGATGATTTGCTAAGATAAACAACCTAATGATTGCCGATCAATGACTTAACCCGAGACAGGGCACAATATAAACAAACGACGATAAACATAGAAATAATTTGTTTACAATGTAAATCCTTTGACTCGTATAAAATCAATGAGAAACTTATCCATAAACATACATGACCTCAGCATTGACATTTAGGGAAAAGAAGGTAGACGGCCTTACAAAAGAGCCCGCCCCTGTTTTCTTAATATATAAAAGTAAAAATATGCAAATTGAACTCAATGCCGGCACGGCGTAGGTTAGAACAATATAAATCTCTGCATAATTGGATACAAGACCACTTTTTTCTATTATTACTGAATATTTATTTGAGAGTGTCGTAATTGAAAAATTAACATAAAAACAAGGGCACTATGTGAACAGTTATGTTTGAAGTACTTTCTTAAAATATAGGGTTATTAAATTACTCACCTTCCGTGTAAACTCACTCCAGGAAATTACGGAAGGGAGGACTATCCCGGCACTTAGGGACAGGACGAGCACAACGAAGAAACGAATAGGGAAAAAGGCTGAGACATGTCAAAATCGGTTTTCATATTGCACTTGTTTTACGTTAAACTCACTGAAAACACGGGTGTACGGAGCAGCTCGGTCGTTTAGCGGCAGGTCCACTTTATTTTACTAACATCATTCCGATATCGGAATGAAAACATTCGTCTTGGACTGGTTTTCTTCAGTGTCGGGAACTTGTACGAGAGCAACAACCGGAGTCGACTTTTTGCGCAGGACACTCACACCCGGAACATTTTCGACCAATCGGTATGAAATTTCGCAGCGGGAGATTCGAAATAGAAATTTAACTGGTATCCGGAAATATGAAAATGGCATAGATTTAAATAAGAACTGGATCATGAATATAAATCGAACTTAATGGCATTTTTAAGGGCCAATCAGACAATCATGCTGTTTTATAATTTGTAATATGATAAAAGCTGCTTATTGGTTAAATAAAATAAAATTTAAGCAAGGAAATTAATACATACCTCAAATTTTATTTCTGGTGTCCATTTTATTTTTATAAAAATAACGAAGATAACTTAATTGATGAGCAATCAATAAAGATTTTTTAAAGAAAAAGTACAATTAATATATAGTCTGTCCAATTAGAGGATCCGTGACAGATGTGTCTGCCGTTTTAATTCATACGTAAATGGTATTCTCTGTCATTTCTTGGATATCGTCTATCAAAATTTTCCCTCATTTGTTGGACAGACTATACCTATGTTTTGGAAAACTCTATCCAAGGAAGGAAGGGACGATTTTTACAGAAGGTATTAAATATTTGAAAGAAAAAACAATTTTCTCCTCAAGTAAAATTACCGAAAATAGGACAAGTATGATACCAGTAACAGTGACAATTCTGTCATTTTAATTCATAAGTAAATTGCTTTTTCAGTCATTTTTTTTGGAATTGTGTTTTCTTTAATTTTTTGTATGCTCTCTGTCGAAATTTTCATTCGTTGGACACGCAACAATATAGGTATACGGTATATTGAGATGGAGTGGGATTAATGTTTTCTACAAGCGAAAAGCATTTCAGAAATTTCTCATAGTTTTGAATTAAAATACAACTGTCGCCGTCATACACTCTTTCGCTGGACAAACTTTTTTTTCTCTCTAGTTATTTCGTTATTTGAGACAAAATAAAATTAATTATTAACAGATGTTTATTAAAAATATATTTTTTTGACAGTCAATATTTTATAATTTAAACTTATCCAAGACTTATCTAAAACTTATTTAAATCTATAGGGATATTCGCATCATTCGCATCAACAGGAAAAATAAAAACAATTTATTGATTTATATAATGTACGAAATATATTTTACAAATCAATTATTTTATAATGTATTTTTACGGATTAACTACCAACTAATATTTTTACTATTTATTCAAAAAAATGTATTAGAAAATTAAATCAGTAATACAGTGATCACAAATAGACAAATTTTTAAATATTTATTACTATCTACAGCCTTTTTACAATATAAACTAAACATGAGCCATGAGCTACATCAACGTAAGAATATAAACAATAAGAAAATAATAGTTAAAATAATAAAATACAGTTCCTTTTAATCTCATTATCCTAAATTCTTACATTTGACGTTCTAATTATTTAGGATGTTTATTTAAAAAAAAAATTGCAGTTTCTATCAGCGGCGCATTCTTTTTCAAAATAGTATGCATACTCAGGGGCGGATCCAGGATTCGGAAAAGGGGAGGGGCTAGAAGTACATACTCCGGACTCCTTTCTGACATAATAAATTAATAATATTGTATTACATGATTGAACAAAAGGGGGGGGGGGACTAAAGCCCCCGAAGCCATCCCCGTGGATCCGCCACTGTGCATACTCACCATAGCACCTGTTTTAACAATATCAAATTTTTGTATCTAGATTCACAATGTATAATACTGCATGATCAAAAATATTGTTAATGGTGAACATCAGTTGTATTTTAAAGAAAATTAGACAAAAAACTTTGATAAAACTAAACACAGGCATATGCGGCAGTATTAATTTTATATTTACTAATTATTTAAAAAAAATATCAGCATTCATAAATCAGTACTTACTTACACATATACACATTTTTACAGAATTTTAAATAAAAGTTGTCGATAATATTTTAGCAAACTATTGTACAATGATTGTACACATAAAATCACGTGAAAATAATATCCTAATAAACTGAACGAAGGAAATACAGAATACCTACAAATATTAAGTTTGAAAACGTAATTTGGCTGCTGAAATGTCCTATATTACAACAGCAAGTACAGTAAAATTTATTTTACTAAATTAGGTAAATAAAATGATTATCCAACTAGACAATATCTTATATATATATATATATATGTACACTAACCCATAAAAATTATGGAAATGATATAACCCCATCATTACCTGATAATTACATATATTTACAATGAAGATTCAGTCGCTAAGTGGAGATTTGTAGGTGCTTTCATATGATAAAATGGCCTTAAATAACTAATCTGTCAATTGAGAGAAAATATTATGGTTTTCGGAGACGACATCCAATAAATGACAAAAAATACCATTCAATCAAGTGGGCTTTGACTTTCACATTTAATTCTAACAAAATTTTGCATAAGATTTTTTTATCTGTCATACACAGCACCCTCGATCATAAAACTTTTTGATGATATTAAACAATGCATTATTAAGATGGTAAATCGTAAATAAGAATTTTCCTGTCACTGTCATATATTCTTTTTCTGAACAGATTATATCTGAAGGTGTCTCAATATCTACAAAACAGTGATAGTTGTATGTCCTTTTAATTTACATGTAATTTATATTTTCTGTCATTTTTTGGATGACGACTGTCAAAATCTTCCCTGACTCGTTGGATACAGACTTATTTATTATAGACGTGATTGACGTGACGTGATTTATTATAGACATGATTATAGACGTGATATATAGCTCTTCTAGCGTAACTTTAGCCAGTGTGGACTACAATCAGGCAGAGCAACCAAAATAAATATTTTTTTTAAATAAAAATAAGTTGGTATGAGTAAATCCAGAGTTGGACTTAATTCAAATTAATTAATAGAAAATACCATTTTAATTATTTGGACAGTTTATATTCATGATATTCTCTTAAATGCTGCTAAATTGAATATACTAAAATCACAGATTAACTTACAGATGTGGCACTTATTTCACCTTGCTGATAAACGCCGCCGTGACCTCGGACCTTTAATAGGGTTATGGCGTTGTCAACTTCTTTTTTTTTTTGGAATGCATTGATGCCTTTTGTAAAAAATGTTTTCCCAATTGAAATACCTAATCTGTGACAAATTTTTTTTATAGTGATCTTACTGATAAATCTGTGTTCATCAGTGCTAAAAAGTAGTGAGAATAAAAACATTACAAGACTAATATATCTTAAAAATCAAAATATTCTTATTAATAAAACAGACATTTACATGATTTCAATGAAAAAAAGCTACGTGAGAAGAACTATATGACACAAAAATATTGTAAATCATTTCAGATACCCATGTTTAATGTATTTGTTTCGTTCGTATAAATAAAAAAAAACTTGTGCATATAATGTTACAATAGTTCATATTTCCTATTCTCCAATTTTAAGGTTTAACAAAGTTGAAAATACATTACAGCTAAAAATAAAATATTTAGAAAAATAAAAGAATTTTTTTATCTCATATGAGATCAAAGTAGCAACATTATACAAAAGCATAATAAGTATACCACCTTAATCATATTTTTAATCTTTGACTATAAAATTTTAATATTTGGAAAATAAGAAAAGTCAATATTTTAGTTTTAAAATCATTAGGAGTCCCAATGTTAAAAATAAAGCGAAATAATCGTATATCATACAAAATCCAAACAATAAATAGTCGTTATATATTGCAAAAATAAATTTAATTAAGATTATATACATATTTTACCCTTATTGCAAATGAAATTTTACTATAGGTAGTAATGTACATTTGTTCTGATCAATTAATCAAAATAAATGATGTAATTATAGTATAAAAAATACTTTTTTAAAATTATATGTATATTGTTGCACATAATTAAATTTATTTTCCTAATAAAATCACTGCAAAATCTTATAGGTTATGAAAATTTATAAAAAAATTAAATACTAAAATCGCACCGCTGGAATTCAGTATATTATGTATTAATTTTTTAAGATGAATTTAAAATATTAAAACATATTTACTTTGTCCAAAAAATTGTGAGTGTAATTACGTTATATGAAATACTTTGCATATTATTGCAATTTTGGGTTCCTTCCTGATGCATTGATTTCAAGATTTATGTTTTTAATTAAATTTTTAAAAAATGTTGCAAAATATACTATATTTAGTACGCAGAAAGAAAAAAATCGTGGGTGTTTGGGAAGGCTCGAAAGGAAACATTGTTTTTGCGACGTTTCGCGACTTTATTGTCGCTTCTTCAGGCACCAAAACATATATTATGAATGTTTGTACGCATAATATGGATTAATATATGTTTTGGTGCCTGAAGATGCGACAATAAAGTCGCGAAACGTCGCAAAAACATTGTTTCCTTTCGAGCCTTCCCAAACACCCACGAATTTTTTCTTTTTGCGTACTAATTATTACTGGGAACTAACAATAATCATAATGTAATACTATATTTATTTTCCTTAAAATTATCTAAAGAAATTTATTAATAACTTTTAAGAATCATGTATACTGATCAAAGAGGAATTCAAAACTGGAATAATATATAGAATGTTTCGTTTAAAAAAACACCCAACTCACTCTCGCTGTTTTGAGACACTCTGTACATACAAGTGAAAATATTTTACTGAATTACGTCCTAGTACATCATAGAATAATTAATAAGAAATATTCTTATTCTGAGACCTTCATTATAGAACCCAGAAATGTCCGACGCACTGTTGTAGGATCCTGTATATGAAGATATACAGGTGCCATTTAAAATTCTTCGTTAAAGTTGTTTCCTTTAAAAATCGAATGTCACTTCCGGTTAAATCGGAGATGAGACTTGACTGAGGTTTAATGGAAAACTTATTTTTTATAAAATTTGGAAGCCAAGTTCCCAAGTTACTTGATACAAAGCACTCAAAACTTCTGAGAAATCACCAATCAAATGATAACCTTTCAGATCATACAAGAAAAAACTGACAAAAAGACTGATTTCAAAGAAACAAAGTACAATAAAACATTAAACTGTCAGCGATTTTCTAGGAAAACAATTAGTATTTAACGATATAACTTTAATTTCTTTACAAAAATTAATGTAATAGTTAAAGATATCCTTTCTTATTTTAATCTTAAATATAAGAACATTATACATACATACGTACATACTATGTAAGTCTATTTT